TGTGGGACCTGAACCTGTTCAGTCTCCACAAGAGAAGGCTGAGGGGGATCTAGTGGCCTGTTACAAACTAGTCCGAGGGGACCAGCAGGCATTGGGGGAGTCCCTGTTCCCCGAACCACTACCAGGAGTGACTAGAAATAACGGTCACAAGCTGGCAGAGGGTAAATTCAGATTAGACATCAGGAGGTGCTACTTCACTGTCAGGGCGGCTAGGATCTGGAACCAACTTCCAAGAGAAGTGGTGCTGGCTCCTACCTTGGGGGTCTTTAAGACGAGGCTAGACAATTACCTTGCTGAGGTTGTTTGACCCCAGTACTCTTTCCTGCTATGGCAGGGGTAGGACTTGATCTGCTCAGGTCCCTTCCGACCCTACTAACTATGAAATTGCGAATGTATTTTCTCTACAGTTGAGACAAAAAATAATAGGATCTCTGTCCTATGCCACTGCTTTAAGATTCACCTCTTTTTCTCATTTGTTTCTTGCAGGTGCAGTGGTCTCCCCACAATGAAACCATTTTGGCTTCCAGTGGTACTGACCGTAGGCTAAATGTCTGGGACTTAAGGTAAATCCTAAACTGATAGTGTTGCATGATCTGCTGCTGGTGTGGTGTGTATTTTCCTAAGAATTGATTTGTGTGTGTGTGTGTGTGTTCTGTGAAATATGTTTCAATTTTGCCCGTGTTTCTACTACAGTAAAATTGGAGAAGAGCAGTCTCCTGAGGATGCAGAGGATGGCCCACCAGAGCTCTTGGTAAGAGGGAGGAGGGGCTGTTGTGGTGTCTGCTTCTTCTCCCAACTCCTATTACAGCAGAACCCAGGTTGTTTGTATGCAGGTGGCATGCAGTGTATGTGCAGATTAAGGGCAAGTTGTTGTGCAGTTGATTGACTTCAAGAGATGTTGATTCTGAAGGGGTACTGGCGTATTGGAGAAGTGGCATCTCTGAAATAAAGGCCACAGCAAACAGCTGGAGCACCTCATTGGTAGTGCACAGCTCTTTTGCTGCAATTTTATATGCTCCTGGTTACTCTGCACTCGTCTTCATGAGGTCATAAGGAACTTAACCCTCCGAAGTACCCAGATCATAGTACTGGTTCTAACATATTTCACTTCCACCCTGAATACCTTATTTTGTTTTCTGTTCCAATACCAGTTTATTCATGGTGGTCACACTGCAAAGATATCTGATTTCTCCTGGAATCCCAATGAGCCCTGGGTAATTTGTTCTGTATCAGAAGACAATATCATGCAAGTCTGGCAAATGGTAAGTAGCATTGATTGGGAGGGGAAGTATGTGTCAATGTGAGAGAGCATAGATCTAAGACGGAGTTCTGATTTTTAGTCTGTTCAACACTGGCTTCTATTCACAGCTCTCAAACAGACTTGCTGTATAGCTTTGGCTGAGTCTTAAAGGAACGCTGAAGCCTACTTAAGCTTAGTAGAAGTGAGGGTTTACAAATGTAAGAAACTTTCTCATGCCTTATATAACATCAGAAAAATGTGTTTTGGAAAGGGTATAAATATAAATGTTCCCTCTGGTATTTGTAATCCAAGCTGTGTATGAGCTGGGGTGTGAAGCTGGCTGTTCCACTTTTACTGTTCAAAATGAGTGGAGTATCTACAAGCCAGAAGAAACCATAACTAGGGGAGGGGTGAAGCAGAGAAACAAATGACCTGATTTCTCATTTGGTGGAAGGAGAAGGAAAGGAAACTCATGCATCTAAGTGACTTATAACCTAGGAGTCCCCCTTAACGTTATCTTTCTATAAACTTAATCAAACAACCAGTTCACAAAGCCTTATATGTGTCTTCATGTTGATAAAATGGATAGGTTGCCTGCAAGGCACTGCCAAGGAGCAGCGTGCATATAGAAGAGACCTCTTTTGTATTAAGTTAAAAATGCATTGGAACTGACACAGTGATCTCTATCATTAAACAGGCATTTCCCTAACAATAAATGTGTTAATGAGCTTCTGTTTAAAGAAATACTTTGAAAACATGACCATTATGAAAAGATTCAGTTGTATTTATAGTTCTTTCTGTAAATGCTAAATAGCCTTGAAGGATCAAGCATAGGAATATTGGTATCTCAAGCTGAGAAACTTCTTGGACTATAGCCTTTTGAGTGTGTTCTCCTGGATGGAATCCCTTTAGCCTAAAATGTCATATTAAACACTCTCCTATTTCCCCCATCCCCTCTATCTTGTAGGCTGAGAACATATATAATGATGAAGACCCTGAAGGAAGTGTGGATCCAGAAGGTCAAGGGTCCTAGATGGTTGAGCTTTTACTGGTTTTTTGTTTTTGTTTTTTTTTTTTTAGTCCTTTCCTTCTCTTCCCTCCCACTCTGACTACATGCACACACGCTCTGTTCAGTCATCCTACATCAATAGTGCTTTTGAGCCAGACAACAAGTACTCTGCATACAGGGGTGTGGCTCTGAGGTGGTACAGTGTTGAAGCTTCTTGTTTAAATTTTGTACAGCAGCCTTTCATGTACAGAGCTGGGTACCCCACTTTAGTTGCCCTCATGATATGGAGCAGACTTGCTTTTTTCCTGTTTTTAAATGCTACAGCTGAAGGTTTTCTGGCCAATTTTAAACAAAAGGTAGAGGGGTAGAGCCCCACACTGTGCACTCGAGACAGTGCAGTACAGGTATTGCAAAGGGTGTTAATTTGTGGCAACTTGCAGGTGGAGGGTAGAGTCTGTCTTGCTAAGACTGGAAATTATTGGCATTTCTTCTTTCACTTCATACTTGTATTTCCTGATACAAATAAATCTGTAAAAGACAGACTCACAAAGACTTTTACTTCAGCTGGAATTAGAAATCTGTCTGTAAACATCCTCTTTCCTGGTAATTCTGAGTTTCATTTTTTCTTCCCTATCTCTTCTTTCTCCCTTTTGATAAGTCACAAGAGTTTGGATACTCTAGCTATGCCTGCAGAGAGCATTTTTTCATCTTCCACATATGCTCTATTGTGTGTTTCTTGAGCTGTGTTTCCCTATGATTTCTTTCCTTTCTGTGAAATGGTTTTTAAAACTTGGGACCACCAAGTTGTAAAGGTGTATGTCTTTACCTGACTGATGTACCACAGATGGCATGCCCAGTAATCTAAAACAGAGCATTGGTAGCTGGTATTTGTAAAACTATATAATAAATGTGGATAAGCTACTTTTTTTAGGAGTTAGTCTTGACCACTAGTTTCTGCACATCTTCCACTAGGGTGTTCTGTTCCACCAGCAGCCTGTTACTCTCCACACTCTCCATGATTAATTATGTGTACGTGCTCCAGATGGAATAAATTGTTTTTCTACAGACCTGTTACAGTGCTTTGTGATTTTTAATGCAGATAATTATCTTGTCGAATAATTGCTTTATTGTGGCAACCTTGTGCTTCTTAAAGCAGAGGTGGGTGGAGGCCTGGGAACCATAATGCCTCCTAGGAATATATTATGAGGTCCAAGTAGTAGATATTAGTATGGAGAAAGCAGAGCTTTGGTTTCTTGCATACACATGTTGATAATGATGTCAGCTGGCAGCTTCTGTGCTCACAACAGGGAATCTATGCTGTTTCCTGTGCAAGTGGGTAGGGAAAGTACAGAAAGCCAAAGGGAGCAAGGAGACTCTCCTGTGCCTGCTCCCTCTGGTATATATTATAGTGTCACCCATAATTTAGTCTTAAATTCTTATGAACAAATCCTCTCAAACACTTCTAATGCTCTGGTAGCTGTGCTTTGGTGCATCTGAAACCCACGCATTTTTGGACTTTTCTTTAAGACTGCTAGCTTTGACTGCATTTTATTTTGCGTTGAGAGAATACTTAATCTCCAGCCAGTCATAAGTGAACCAGAGAGGGTCTGAAAAAATATGGTGGTGTAGGGCCCATATCTTTCCAGTGAACACTTGAGTTAGCCCATTTAAAAACCCTTGGTGACTGTGACTATCCAGTCTGTACAAATGTCAATAAGAAGCTTTAAAAAAATCTTTTACCGCTCTTTAGATGGGTGACCAGATTGCTTTTTCTATTTTTTCCATGATGTTGAGCATGCTTTGGGAAATAAAAGAAATCTTAAACCCTGAGCCTTTATTTATTTATTTTTTTTTCAAGGTGAATTTTTTTTTTTTAATATATAAAGTGGAAACCATTTATACAGGAGTTCAGTTTCTGTGGCCCATACTGGAATATGTCACAACATAGCAGAGACCTGTTGAATTACAAAAGAAACAACCCTGTTTAAAAGGACAGTGTTTTGCACAAACTTAAAAAAAAATCATACCATAGGCTTCCAGGATACTTTCTATGCAGGCTTATACAATCCACTTATGGATTTCATAGACAAGACACAATTAGCTTTCCAAACACAGAGCAAAACATACATCTTTTTGCTCTTTTACATATGTTCATTATTCAGTGCAAGTAATACCTCTCTCCTTCACTATTTTCTACCAAACTAGAAGATCAACAGAGCAGCACCTCAAGAAATATAACCAAGCAAATAATTGTCTAGTAATCCTGAGAGCAGCTGCTATACATCATTAGGGTTAGTGTGAGCAGCAGGAGTGAATTGGAAGTATCCCCTACAGCTATCTTGCTGTCACATTTCTTTTCAGCAGAAAGAAGTGGGGGAAAGTCCACACCTCTAGAAATCTTGGTCTGCTTTTTCTTCTGACTTGCAAAACTGTCCATAGATTTCTAAGCAGCCCCTGTGTGGGTAGAAAGTAAATTGCCAAGTGAGTGCACAATAGTCTGGAGCAGGGATGTCAAACTTGCCCTGGGCCGGATACAGATTGCAGGGCTCCTCCCATGCTGGATCCACAGGGCCAGGAGCTGCAATGGAGGTAGTGGCAGGCTATCGGCACAGTCCTTGCTCATCCCCTGCTGATAGTCATGTCCGTCAGGTTGCAGAGCCCTAAATTCTGTAGTAGGCCCTCCCTCTCCCCAACTCCCACGACTTCCACTAGCCTGTCAGTTCAGACAGAACTGCTCTTGTGAGCTGGATCTGGCCCATGGGCTGTATCTGACACCCCAGCAGAATTTGGGTTACTGTTCAAGCCTCCAGTACCCCTCTATCCCCTAATCATTCAGCTGTAAGGTGTAGAAAAATAGCATTGGTTAGCATCAAAGCTAAATAATGATGTAATTTGAGCTTGCATCCAGAATCTTGACCTGCCTTAGCACAAAGCTTGACAAAACGAGGAACTGTAGCTCTAGAAGGGAGAAGGAAATGGAGTCTATGGTGCAACCTGCAGGAATGTATGAAATACTGTTTAGTGGGTCAGACCATAGGTCCATCTAGCTCAGCATGCTGTTTCATACAGTGGCCGTGTAGATGCTTAGATCTGGGTGGGAGGGTAAATGGTATGTCCAGAATCTTCCACTCACTGCTTTTCCCCCAGTGCAACTACCAGCAATCAGTTTGTGAAAATTCAAATCTCAAGACTGCACCCCTTTCTACCATGTTCAGTGCCCACTGATGGACCTTTCCTCCAAGAATGTGTTCAGTTCTTTTTCTGAACTTGGTTAAGCTATCAGTTGCCACAAACTTTTGTGGTAGTGATTCAACAAGGCAATTGCATGCTATGTGGAAAATGGGAGCATAAGTATACATCTAAACAGCACCATGCAGGGATGCATGCAATTCCTGGACTAGTTCTGGTACTGGGAACAGGATAGTCCTAATGTGGTTCTCTCAGGTTGAGCCAGAGTGAACTAGTCTACACTTGTGGTTAAGCAAAGTCACTTAACTGTGGTGTAGGATAGTACCTGTTTATGACAGCACTGTCCTATGCTGGAGTAAGTGAATCTACTGCAGACTAATTGTAGCACATGTTTAGGCAGTGATGCTTTACTGTGCATTAAATTAATGCACAGGAAAGCACATGTAAACGTGCCCTTCCTGGGCTAATTTAAGGAGCCTAGCCAACTCATGCATTTTTACACCAACATAAGGCCTGCCTGTGTGCCAACAATGACGCGGGGCTTTGGTGGCATTTGGTGGCAGGGTCACTTTCTGCAATTTTCCCCATGCTGCTGTGTGACAAGGGCCAGCTTCCTGTGATTTCCTCATGCTGCTGGGGAGATGAGTGTTGATGGCAGAGTCCTAGCACCTGTCCAGCCCCTTCTGACAGTGTGGGTCATTCTCGTCTGCAGTGTGAAAAGGTTGCCTACCCATGCTTTAGATGATGATTCTTAAGAATTAATTCCTACATTTAGACTTACTTAGATCACTTTGATATGGATTTAGATGTTTATATTTCAGAGGAGTTAAGTACCTGAGCTTTCACTGATTTAAGTCCCTTTTGTAGGTACCCAGGACTTCTGATAAGTGATATTCTAGAGATCTTAGAGAAGCAGGGCTGGAAGGACCTCAAGAGATTATCTAGTCCAACCCTCTTCCCGAGGCAGGAAAGGTCTTGTGATTCCTATTTAAGTATAAACATGGATTAGGGAGCCTAATCTTCAGTGCCAATGTCAAAACTTTTGTCTTTCTGAGACTTAGAATAAGGTAGAATATTTTTAACAACCTATAGTCCTTGCTACTGATCCCAGATTGTGTGGCCCAGGAGGCCATTTCCTGTCCCATCTATGTTCCTGTGATAAGTATTCAGTAGTCTGCATGCAGCCATCTTTATTGGAAATCTTGGGAAAGAGCCTAGAGATTAAAATGAGCTGGGAGGCTGAATTCTTCTACCTTAACAAAGGGCAAAGCTGCCTACTGCTTCTCCTTCAGGCTTATTCTAGAAGGAAGCATTGTATTTGTATGTACTTGCATGGGTGGTAGGGAGTATTTTCTTGTGCTGTTCAAACAGACAAAATACTGTGCTCTCAAGTGGCAAGGAAGAGAGACTTGCGGAAGAAGACTGTTACGTTAAAAGGGGAAGCTGCCAAAAATGAAGACTCTGCTAGGGCCTGTGTGCCTAAGAAAAAGGGGTAATGTGCCTTGCAAAGCAAACTACAGGAAGTGAAACAGAGGGTTGTACTACAGATGTCTTTTAAAAATCCTCTGAGAGCGTTCCCATGTTAGGAAGAGGAAACCTGAGTAATAGCCATAGGGGTATTACAGATAACAGCGGGGTTCTCTTCCCCTGTTCAAGGGAACACGTACAGCATTTCCAAAACTCTTAAAAGACTGTTTCTTTTCAGGAAATGAGTGCTACCACTTCCCGGCTGCTGTGTATTGCTACAGGTCTACCTAAGATTGACATGTGTTCCCCACCCTTTTCACTGGGAATGCCAGCCTGTTCCATTCTTCCTCGGCCGATGGCATTTTGCTGTAGTTCCGTTAAAGCAGCATTGATTTAGAGGGCACTGAGCTATGATGAAATTATCCCTTTCTGTTTGTTTGTCTGATTCCTATTTATCCAGGAGCCTCAGATTCTTAGTAAGTAACTAGGGCTGCCCTTTAAAAAACACATGACAGCTACTCCATGTTGCAGCCTCGGTCAGTTTTCCATCATGCTTTTTTTTTTGGTTTCTTGCCCTACGGTTCTTTCACCAACAAAGTAAAGAGAAGATAACTACTTGTAAACGGAGAGCTCCTGGTGCAGGCTGGTCCTCAGCTCTTCCAATTCCTGGTTTTTGCGTTGCTGAAGTTGGACCCCATTCTTCAGTTCCCTCAGCCTCTCTTCCAGCTCTTCTACCTGTTCCTGTGGGGCCAGAAATAAAGAAATACATGACATAAAGTGATGTGCAAACCTGAAACCAGCTCTCTGGAGGAAGAAGCATCTTGCCGGGGTCGTCTGATCCCAGCAGTCTTTCCTGCCCAAGCGCAGGGGGGCTGGACCCAATGACCTGTAAGGTCTCTTTCACCCCCTAACAACTATGAAGGCTGAGCTGGTTGCCTCTGATTAATGTTTGCCTTGGCTGTGTGTGTGGATATGTCCTATTCGCAGCTGTCACTATAGTGGGTCTGCCCGTGTACGCTCGGGATGTACATCAGAGCAGCTGAGTTGATGACTGGACACCTTTAGGCAAGTTTTAGGCCTGAGTTTTAAGTATTTTCAGCAGGCTCATCTGTATTTGTCTCACACTTTTTTTAAAAATGTTTTCAGCCCCAAAAGCTTGTGTTGCCTTTCAGGCAATTTGTGACTGTTTTAGAGAGTTCTTTTAACCACTGCGTGGGCCTAAAACTGACAGGAGGCAAGCATAGTAAACTGGATAATCTGGCTATGTGATTATTTGCCACTATGGTTTAATTTGCTGCTGTTCAGATTCCAAATCCCCTTCAGTCATCCCCCCCACCCCGTTATCAGCTCCTGGTAATTGGTCACTATTGGATAATTTGCCATTATTTGCATTCCCAGAGATTACTGTAGGAAATCTATAGGGAGGTTACGCTCCACGTTCTTGTTTGAGCAGGAATCATGAGGCAGGAGGAGGAGAAAAATCTCTTCTAAGTTGATTTTACCAAGTCCTGTTCCTTAAAGCTGTGAATGGAAATTTAAATCTAAAAAGAGTGGTGGATGTAAGACCATAAGGTGATGTGGATAAAGATAAACCTATCACCCAGGCCACACAACATCTGCTTCCTTCATGCACGCATATGGGAACATGCCAAACAGTTTTCAGCATAGAGCACTGAGAGGGTAGGGAAAATCCAAGTCTACTTTTAGTAGTTGCTAACTTTCCTTGGTTTGCTGAAGCCTAGAAAGTGAAAGGGTGTAGAGGGCAGAAAGGCAGGGATAAATTAATTCTGGAACGTTTTTTCCCAATGCACTTTGCAGATACATAATTGCTTCTCTCCCTAGAAAATGGAGGGGAGGGGTGGGCAAGACATTTAACTTTTGGCATGTTTCTTACAGTGTCTATAAATACAATTATACAGTCTCTTCCAGTTATAAATAACCTGTGTCAAAGGAGGCAGCCCAGCTTCAGGGTTGCTGCTGCAGGAAGGTCTGGACTGCTGGAGCTGTACGTGAGTCCTTCCCTGCTGATGAGGTAATTCGTAGAAGTCAGCCAGACAGTGATTTCATTACGAAGTGGCTGCATCAGGTCACTGAGAAAATCTTTCCTTTTTAAAGGGACAGCATCTTAATTCAGTAATTATTTTTCCTGTCCTTTTTTAGGTATCATACCCAGACTCTTACTATTAACAGCTGTTAAGAGAAGCAGCAAACAATACTGAAACTACAACAGTGTTATATGCGTTACTAATATATCCTCCTCTAGAATTCTGAATTCAAGTTTGGATTAAAAAGCATGTTATAGAAATGGATTAAAGGAAGAAAGACTTGCCATAGGAAGAGACATCAAAGTGTTGAACTATAATATTTAGAGAGATGAATTTTGGGATGCAAAAGAGGCACAGAGGCCAGCTGTGGACTTTTGTCCACTTTGCCAAATTGCAAGAGCAAGAGAAGTAGAAATGAAATCAAGGGCATTTTAAAATGAAAAAAAAAACTACTTTCATACAACTCATCCTTAAATGTGACACTAACTGCTGCCAGAAGATAGCATGGCAAAGAGCTTGTGACTCAGAAAAAGAATTTAAACATTTATAGGAATAACAAATGTACCATTATACACATTTTTATCCCAACCTGTATAAGGGACAAACCATCATATTTCATATAGTAAGCCAGTGCCTAGCTGCCTCTGCTTATAAAGAAACTCTCTCTTCTTGTTCCCTGAACTGCTTCCATAATGAAAGGGATCGTTATACCTTTCTTTGAAGCTTCTGATGCTGGCCATTGTAGGAGGCAAACTGTAAGACTGGAAGACTCATGAACTGATCCAATACTGTAGTTCCTATGGAATCAGTCATCTCCCTAGGGTGAAAGAGCAGCCAACTTTGAAACCACAGAAAGGAGCTGTAGCTTTTCCTGTCACCCTCAGCACTTTAGTATTAAGTGTCTTTGGTTTTGATGCTTCTAATAATGCTCAGCATCCCAGCAGCAGGATGGTTTGTATTGCTCAAACCAGCCATTATCAAGCATCTAACAATAATTAATGGAACCTCCCATTGCTGTTGCAAAATGATGGACTAGCCTGTGATTTCCAAAGTGTCCTACACCAAAACCTGAAGCTTGCTAAAAACCTGAGAACACCCTGCCCACCCCCCAATGGGAGTGTTTTATCCCAGTGAAAGCCCTGGTATTGCACGAGTGCTAAAATAGGGAGAAGGGCTGTTTCCTATCTTAATTAACCTGGGCCTGGCTTTATAAATCGTAAGTAGCACGTAGCACTGTCCTCAGATATAGATGGTATATGTGGAGCATTGGTATCCCTGTGGCAGCTGACCCAGCGGCAGAGAAGCTGCTATGTTCAGCCTGGAGCAAAGCTTCCAGGTGCTTTTCAGGGATATTCCCAGGCAGAAATCTGACAAGGTAACGTGCTACAGCTGAGGGTCTTGGCAGGCTCTTTCTCTGTCTCTCAGCTTGTGTTTATTGCTTGTGGTATTTGAGTGAGTACATATGTTACTATGATGTGCAAAATTTTGTAACCTGACAGGTTGATGTGGGTAGTGAACTATCATGTGACAAGGGTATCCCAGGCCAAAGGGGGAGGGAAAGAGAGCACGGTGGATAGTTTCTAAGCTCTGCCTTGGTGCTTAGCTGTCACTGGGGCTGCAGAGGAAGAATCTCTGTGAGCCTTTCTATCTCTGGTTCCTATTTGTAGGTACAAATGTTATGTCTGTCCATGGCTTCACATGCCTATAAACTAGGATGTGGGTACTCCCTCTGTATGCATACCAATCCAGGCGTGTATGTGTAGGAAAGGTGCGCATGGGATGCACAAGAGTATTTTTTCTCGTGGTAAATCTAGGTAGATAGAGGGCCAGCTCCTCAGTTGAGATAAACTGTTGTAGCTCCTTTGGAGTCAGTAGAGCTTCCCTGATTTACCCCAACTGTGGGTCTAGCTTGGTGTATCTAAAGTCATGCACAGCTCAAGGACCTTACAAATATTGCAGGACTTGGTCATGTCTGCCTGGGGCTTCAGCATCTCTGTATATAAAATGTGATTCACAAGCTATAAAAATCAGCACCTCAGGGGCTGCCATCCTCCACAGGCTGTAAACAGCCTCCTTGCAAGGAACACACGTGTTGTAAGCTCGTGCTCTTGTGCTTTCTGCCACTGGCCTTTGGCTCAAAAGGCTTTGAATGAAGAATATATTACTCCAGAAGCAAATGTTTTTGCTTTGCCTTGTTTCTTCTGCCATGCTAACTGGGGTCTGGCTCCATTATTTGATGGTGTAGTACTGAGGCATTTTATGTTTGGAGAGCAAGGTGGTAATGGGCCAGGTCAGAGCTAGGCGAATGTTTCCTTCAACTGTGCTTTGGGGGGAATCCCTAGTGACACCACATTGCATCCCTTTAATTCCTAATCTTTCTGCTCACTCAGTAGCCGCCTCTGCTTTGCCTTCCCTAAGCTAGGGGGGAAGAGGACCTCAGCCTCTTCTAGGCTACTACTTCTATGAGCCAGTAGGATATGTCTGATTCTTTGTTCCCCCAGTGATTCCCTACTGTCTTTTCCTGTGTGGCTGTTATATCCACTTCTTCACTAGTTGCAAAGTTAGACTCCCAAGTCTGTGTATAATAAGGAAATACATATAGTGCCAGTCTCAAGTATGTAGACACTGAGTACACAGGGCTGACCGCTTACATGACAGCATCGCAAGCCAGCCCTAACTTGAAGCAGCGTGCAAGCATTTTTACAGGCCCATTGCACGTACCCTGTACTGGAGAACTTCTTCATCCCGTTTCTGCTTGATGAGCAGAATCTGTTCCTCCAGCCTCCTATTCTGCAGGCGCATCTTGCTGGCCTCTCCCTGCAGCGGTCGCAGCACCTCCTTCAGCCCCTGAATTTCTCCCTGCATTTTTTGCAGAGCCTTGGCACTGGCCTCCCTCCTTTCCACCAGGCGCGCAAGCTGCGGCTCGTAGTGTTCCTCCAGGCCCCTGCGGCTCCCTGCCACAAAATTTTCAAACTCCATGGAAAGCCTCCGGCTCTCCTGCAGATAGTGGCTGTCCCCACGGCTCTGGGGTGCCTCCAGCTGCTGCCTGAACTGTTCCTTCTGCTTTTCACAAGTCTCTTTCAGCTGGGACAGCTCCTCTGAGAGCTGGCTGACCCTGGATTCCAGTTCATCCCTGTAGGCAGCATACTGGGCCATGTCGTGCCGTCTGTTTTCCAGCTGGTACTGGCAAGCCACGCACTCCCTGGTCACTTTGAACAGCTTCTGCTTGATCTGTCGGATCTCGTCCCTGAGGTTATCCCGCTCCAGCTCCACTTTGGCAAGTAGTTTGTAAGCCGCCAATACCTCCTCATGGGCTTGTCTGATTTCTTGCAGGACAGGCTCCCGAAGCAGCGTGAGCTCCTGGATAAGATTATCCCTCTCCTTCTCCAGCTGCTCCACTGCATCAATGCACTCCTGGAAACGCTCCCCCACCTCCTCAATGGTCAGGCTCTGGGACTCAGCAGCATCTGGCTCCAAGAGGCTGCTTGCAACATCCACAGGCAACTCCAAGGGGTCAGCTTCCACTTCCAAATATAAAGGGGTTTCTGTAACATCTTCCTCTGGGTCCATGGCTGCACTTGCATCATCCAGTGGTGACTCCAAAGGGGGCTCTGAGTCAGCCATCAGGTCCCTAGAAATGAGACAAGATGTGTGAGCTGGAAGCATGCTTACTGTGAGTTTCAGATGTCCCAATCCCTATAAACCTTCCCAGATAAACAGGCCTCCTTACAACAGGCCCACTAATGGTGCACACATCTAAGATCTGCTTCTGCTGAAGTCTCCATCACTGGCTATTTTAAATGTACTTAATGCCCTTGGTGTCTCTTACAGGGCATGTTTACATGTGCTATTAATGTGCTGTAAGCTTACTGTGCAGTAAGCTTTCCCTGGGAGAGCATTTACATGTGTACCTGTTGGGAGCAAATTTGCTCCAGACAGGAACAGTTCAGTGCAGTGCTACTCCTGTCCTGCTCTGCCCCCCTACAGCAGCCAGGGGAGCTCCAGGCTGCCAGGGGGCACCAGGGTCAGGCAGATCTGGCTGCAGGGCTGGGAAACCAACCCCTCCCCCGGTAGCTATTTCCCAGCCTCACGCCCCAGTCTACAGGTAATAGCCAACCGCACGGTAGACTAATTTACTGTGCAGTAAATATTGTGCACAAATAGGCAGTGATGCTTTACTACACAGTAGATTAGTCAGTAAAGCATCTCACGTAGATGCACCTACAAGCACCTAAACGATCTGAAGCTGTTTGTCAGTTCAGCATGGAAGTTACTGTATTGGTTTTTATTAATGTGTAGGGCATGGTCTAACAACAGTTTTGCTTTGCTTTTTAAAGATGTTTGGCTTTGCCAAAGGCCAGAACAACCAAGCAAAACCTTTTAAATTACCTGGAATGAAAGAAGTGTTTTACTGCTATAATTTAAAAGACTCCCTGTAGTTCTGGTGGTTCTCAGCATGACTGGAGAGATGATAATATAGGATGGACAGCGTAAACCATTATACCTTGGAGGATCTGACTAGCAAGCGACTGTGATGCTGATGTAAAGCTACCTCCTAGACTACACTGCTTGTATTGTAAATACCACAGTAGATATAACCTTTCCACTCGGGCCACTGGTAGCAAGAGGGTGTTTCCGATTCCTCTTTGCTGCCGGCATGGGCAAAAGATCAAATGATTGTAATTCATTTGCTCACTGTTTTTTCACACTGTCTTTCATCAGAAGAGGAGGAGATTCTCTGGGCGTTTGGGATTCTCTGGTCACGTGAACTTCTTAAAGCAAGGATAGAGTTACACTCCACTGAATTTTTGTTTATTTAAATAGGTGATGGTATTTGCTGCCAGTGGTTTGTTGTATTAAAAGTCAGGCATCATACTTTTTCCTTTGTGTGAGATGGAGCCAGCTGCTTTTAGAGATGAGTGTGTTAGAAAAACCTAAAAGGCTTTTTTGTTTGTTAGGTAGTACCTGCCTTTTCTTTAGAATTAAAACTCCTCAGGTAGGGACTATTTTTTTTTTTTTTTTGCTCTTTGGTCAGTGCCTAACAAAATGTCTAGCATTAGCTGGAACCCTTAAGTCCAATACAATAATGTCCCGCTCTGTGGTATTGCTTTTCAACTGTAGACCTCAAATGGGTTACAAAGGAAGAGAGTATTTACAGATGTGGAAACTGAAGCGTGAGGTGGGGAAGTGCCTTGCCCAAGGTCACCTGGCAGTTCAGTAGCAGAGGTAGGAATTTAAACACAGGTCTCCTAAACCACAGCTGAGTGCCCCCAATACTAGGCCACTGTGTTTATTTCCCCCTTTCCCTCCTGCTCCTTCCCCTTCCCTGCCTCTGGGCATTTTAACTGCTGCATTCAGGTTAAGTCTTTTATCTTGTTTTTAAGATAATATATTATTCTGGCTGACGGAAAGTCAAATAAAGGCCTTTTACAAGTGCATATACACAAATCATTTGTATACAAAATGTCAGACTGGCAGAAATGCATACTGCCAGGTTATAGATTTCCAGTTAAACTTGTCTGGTTTTCAGCAATGCTGACAGAGTCCTGGAGGGAGAGAATGTGCTGTCTGAATACACGTGGGCTCTCCAAGATGGCTGTGGGTGGGCTAAAACATTTTACACGGCCGAGCACGTTCAGCTTTCCCGGAAGCAATGGTAAAGTCATCCCTTACCTCGCCTCTGCAGCTATGATCTAATTCATTCATCTGCTAATGCACCTTTTTGCTGTCAAAACTCTTCCATCATCACTAGTCTAAACTAATGTGCCCACTGGGAAGTGAAGAGAGAGCAGTCTTCTGTTGTGAAACGCCCTTTACGCTGTTTAAAAAGATATATACGTTAGAATAGGTTCAGAGGAGAAGCCAAAACCACACCCAGTTCAGAGCAGACTTGGAGAGGAAGGGTGCTGAAGTCTTGATAGGCAGTGCACTTGCTGCCCGGAAGGATCTGATCAAATGTCTAGTCATTTCGAAATGCATTAGAGTAGACTGGCAAATTAACGGCAAGTGGTTCGCTCGTTAAAACAGTTCTAAGGCAAGAGAATGGACAATTTTCACTGATACTCTCTCCTTTTCCAAATTAGGCAGCATTCTGAAATCATGACACATCCTAGCCTCAGAAGCAGCATGTCTGACTCTTACTTCTTAAGGGAGAAAGGGAACGATCTATGAAAATGTGAGGCAGCTTGTGACAGCCTTTTTCCGGGTGATTTGCCCACCTTGATGCCCCTCTGCATATCTAGAACAGCAACTGGAAAATAATCCCTGCCACGCCTGCCCTGCTTTGGTGAGATTTTATCCTGAAACGGATCAACTGCCCAGCTCTGTAGCCTGCAGTCCCACCCTGGCAGAGCAGAGCTCCAGCACGCTCCCCATGCCAGCCGCCTTCTTGCGAGCGTGGACATGCAGGTCTGCACTTCCACTTCATGCAAGGCACTCCTGCCGGACAGGTAAGAAGTTCCTTCTTTACGGTCCGGTGGTGAAATACAATACATCCCCCAGCACAGACCAGAGCCGAGCAAACCAGCTGGGAACCGGACTCATCTGGACTTGACCACACTGCAAATGCAAACTCCCGGCAGATCTTGCAAACCTGTCAAATGAATGAAGCTGTTCCCTGAAGCAACTGTACTGCCCTATATGCTGAATGGACCTGTTGGGTCCTCCGAGTGCATCCCAGCACAAAGGGCGGATGCTGTTTGAGGCTGATGACCCCTCCCCAGACGCCCTCCGAAGTGCTCAGCGCATCACATCCACGCCCTCTCCCACCTGAACCCTGACAAGGGAAAAAGCCCAAACCCAGTTTGCAATTGTTAGTTCTTACCTTTCTCTCCAGGAGACCAGTTCCTCCTGCTCTGGACTGGACATGGGTTTAGCATGGGAGGGGGGGGTGTTTGTGTTATTAATAAACTGTGTTAGAAACCAGAGTCCTCTGGCCTCCAAGCAGTCTTCTCACTTATTTCCCCTGGACACCAGCTGCAATACCAGCTGCAAGCTGACACTGGATTCCTCCAATCCTGGTTAGAGGGAGGAGGGCGGAGAAAGGCGAGCTGGCTCCTGGCTTCTGAGCATTTTTAGCAGGCAGAGAGTGACAGCTGCAGGGGCTGGGTCCTTCCAGCAGTCCAAGGCAGGTTGAAGGCCAGGCGGCTGGATCTAAAGCATGCCCATCTCTGGAAGGCATAGCTTAGATGAGGTCATGGCCGGAGCCTGCCTGCCAAAGACCAAGGTCAAGCTCTGGGCTGCTCCCCTCTCATTTTTGCAAGTTTTTGGAGTAAGGTGGGGATTTTCCTTTGTGCAGCCTTAAGCCTGCCCCTTCCCTGCCCTGATTGGGTTTTCTTCCCTGACTGGCAGAGTGTCTTCACCATTCAGCCTGCTCCAGGCAAGAAATAGTTGCACTGAGAGGCGGCTCTGAGCTGCACACGAGGAGGCGGGTGCCTTAAAGAAATGTGTGGGGCCGGGCTGGGAGTGGACTGCAATCCTTTCCGATGGTATTGCAGACCTCTCATCCCCTTCTGCTAACTGGAGCGGATGTCAGCAGAGCTTGCATTAAAACCAGCAGGCAACTGGTGGAAAAATGCTTGAGATCACGAGTGTCAGGTTTCCAGGTTGTAGCCGTATTGGTCCAGTTCTGATAAGAGTACAAGTGGCTTTTAAGGAAAAAGCAGTATCCTTTGGCTGAGGTAAAGGTCCTTTGGCTCTGGGTTCTGTTCTGACCTTTGCCACCCCCTCACTCGGAAGTCAGGTCGGGGGAAATTTTCAAATGCACCGAAGTGATTTTGGAGCCCAGGTCCCCCTGACTGAGGCACCTAAGTCACCTGCAAACTCTAGAATGGCTTCGCCTTTACTTTTGATGGGCTTTGTAAAGCACTCTGATCCCTGGGTATGAAAGGGGATTGTACAGATAGCAGTGGCTAATGTTACCACGAATATCAAGTTCTCTCCTCTCTGACATGCACTCACTCTTGCCCTCTTTAGTGGGGAGAGAGGATTTTTTTAGTGTCTACGTTTGTTCAGTTCTGGGGTTCTTAGTTCTGCCTCACCTTAAACCTGCTCACCCAGTCCGGCTCTGAAAGTAACATCCTCTTGCACTTCTAAGATGAGAGGGGTCTGGTTGTTTTAAGACTCTTCTCTTCTCAATGTATTCTCATAACATTCGGTGTCTGCACACAAAGGAGCTCGGGGAAAACAGAGTCTTTCCTAAAGCATAGTTGCAGTAAGTGCAGTAGAGAGATTGCAGCAGGGAGCCGAGCTGAGCTGGTTTGTGGCAGCCAGACTCTGAGGCCACTGCTGCCTTTCCTTTTCTTATCAGTAGTGGTAAATCATAAGGTTGGTGCTTAACCTAGAAGCTACCAGTTCTTTCCTCTTACAAGTTCTTGAAAGGGCGTTGGCATTTTTCACTATACCAGCTGCAACAAGCTCAGAAGTGAAAGAGGATGCAGACTGCACCCTTGCCATTGCTGCATAATTCTTGAAAATATGGAAATCACAGCAATCAACAGATTGCTGCACAGCTATTGCAGTACTAAGGTGGCCAAGGTAAATCTGTAATGCTGATCTTGGCAGTTTGAAGACAGCTTCGTGGCACCATCATCAAAGGAGCTGAAACATATACCATAGGAAGCAGGCTTATCA